TAGTAAAGCATCAGTGAAGAAAATCACCAGTATTTATGTTCAAGTTTCTCATTCTCCAGCTGTGCCATGCCAAATCGTTCTTTGCTTATTGAGTAAATGTCAAGCATCCACAACCCAGTAGGCACCAGGTAGGATCTAGGCATAAAAGGCTGAATGAGGTGGTCATTATGGATGACCTCACAGTCAAGTGAAGGCAGACAATGAACAAAGGACTCTTTCAACAAATCAGTCAACTAAGCTTGTGGTAGACACTAGAAGCACAAGCCATCTTGAAAATGTAGCGCATACAGTCCTGACCCATTCTAAGATCCTAGGGAACCCGGGACACATGACTTCAGTTCTCTGTGCCTCTGTTTGCCTACTTGTAAAATCAGAAATAATAAAACATACCCCACCAAGATTTAGATAATGACTGTTGGCACCTTGAGATAACTTATACCACATTCTCACCAAAGTACTTAGCACACTGTACAATAGGTATTTATGATGTCACATGAACTAACTGGAAGTTTATCTACACAAATACAGATATCCAGAGGTCAAAACCAAATTTTAAACTTTGAAGAGTTCATTGGCAATGCCATGAACTTAATGTGCTAGTTATGTTTAAATGAAATATAAACTCTATTAACTCTGCATATGATATCACATAAAATTAAGTCTTTATAATTCTTTTTTAATATGTAATGTATGAATCAGAGAGTACGTATCTTGAGTCAACATAATGGGTGAATCAACCAATTACCAACACCTGAACTTTCTTGCAACGGAAGTAAAACTCTCTGTATTTCTTCCAGTTACTTGACAAGAATTGAGAAGTCTGAGTCTGGAAACCAAGCCAACTGAAGTTCTAATAAGCCAGAGTGCACTTTGGAGTGTGTCCACATCCTGGAGCTCTTCAGTTCAAGGGTGGGTTTGGCGCTGGCTGGAGAAAGGCAATCAGCATCTTCTCAAAGAAGAAGGTGAACTTTGTTGGAAGCTGGAATTCGTGTGCCCTCATACACCCCTCTGAATTAAGGGGCTTAAGACAAGGTACCACAAACCGCAATTTCCAGACAATCTGTACATAGCATGCTCAGAGTCATGCTAAGTGAAGGAGGGGTTGTCTAGTTCATATTCCTAAACTTGACAGATGGGGCACTGAAGATGAAACTGGGACTCGTAAAATGAGATGGATTGACTCTTCCTGCACATTTAAAGGGATCTCATAGAAAATAATTGATCATTCACCACCAAGTTGACAAAAAAAAGTCTCCACGCACCTAAAGTTTCCTTGCCTCAATACTAAAAAGCAAGCGAGGAGATGCAGGAGGTAGAACACCTGAAGGGCATTTTAAGGGGAGGTCTGAAGACCAAACTGGAGCTAAGACAGAGCAGCGGCTCCAGGTGGACTCTTCTAAGCACACACAGCACTCTTGCATGTTACTAGCCTTCAGTACCACCAGCTCCCCTGCCTGCCCTCATGATCAAGACTCACCTCACCCCCATCTCACTTTCTCTCACCTGAACTCCCCTCCTCAAGCCCACCAGGGAACTCCAAGGTGCTTATTTATATCATCTTTTAAACCTTTACTTGACCTCTCAGAAAAACATGCAACTTGTCAGCACCCAAGAAAATGATACTTTTGTGTCCCAAACAACCTGTTTCCTTCCTTCTCCATCCAATGTGGCTGCTTCTTTTCAGTTGCCTCAGTTTCCCCTTCAGTCCATTCTGGATGTGCTGGAGCCCTTCAGGGTTTTGTCCTGGGTTTTCTGAGTTTCTCCTTCCATACGTGCAGCCCGGGAGTCCACCCACCCCCGGTATCAGAAATCTGATGACTCCTTTATCCATACACCGAGGCCAAATATCAACTGTGGACATCAGGCTTGGACATCTAACTACCTAGGAGACCTCTCCACATGGATGGTCCATGGACACCTGAAACTTAACATGGGTCAGTCCCTCTAGCCTCCCTGCCCAGCTTGAGGCTCCCCTCCTCAAACCTTCCCCAGCTCAGTGAATGGCACCTCCAGCCAGTTGCCAAATGGGATCTGGTGATTACTGGCTGTGATCATTGTCCATCCTCTCACCATCTGCAAAGGTGAGGCTCAGTTTGTCATCTGTGGGTTATAGGAAGCTAAAGAAACCATCTTTTTTCATTGGAAAAATAGAAACCTGGGTCTAGGCTCTCCTCTGCCTCCCTTCCTCCGCCCTCCACCCTCAGCCTCCACCTCACCCCATCCTTCGACTCATCCCTGCCCCCTCCCCATATGCACCATCAAGGCCTTCATTGGCTCAGGCCAGCCCTGGGTCAGCCCCCAGTCCCACCCCCACCCACAGAGAAAGCTGCTTGTTATCTGGAGTCACAAAAATGTTTAGTAGAGCCAGGCTGGGTGGCTCAGCCTGTAATCCCGTGCCTTTGGGAGGCTGAGGTGAGTGGATTGCCTGAGCCTGCGGGTTCGAGACCTACCTGGGCAGCGAGACCTCATCTCTACAATAAATCAAAAAATCAGCCAGGCGTGGCAGCGCATGCTCACGGCCACTGCACTCCAGTCTGGGCGACAGAGTGAGACTCCAACTCAAAAAAAAAAAATGTTTAGCAGAGGTCTACAGTTAAGCGTTAAGGAACTCCTTTGATCAAACTCCTAATCAACTATTTTTCCCCAGTAAGTGGCCAGTAAGTGAAAGTGTGTCAATATTATACATAAAGATGGCTGGAACTGGAATCCGTTTCTTGCTTTATAAAAAGAGAGATTCCTGCTCCATTTTCTCCATCTTCACTGCAGGGCCTGCCCCAGATGCTGACGCCTGCTTGGAGCTGCCACATCAGCAGGGGAGGAGCCGAGTTTGGTGTTTGCATCAGTTTCCAGGAATGCCTTTCAAGTGATGGACTTGCTCTGCACCCTCAACAGAGATACTTCTCCCTAAGTGTGCAGATGTGTACTGCAGCTCATATGTCTCTCATTCTCAGAAACTAGCTGAGGAGTTTTTTCTTTTTTTTTTTTTTGCTAAAAAGGAAATTATAATTACATTTCTTAAAACGTCCTACATTTTAAACTATTTTGACAACAACAAAAGCTACCACTAAGTGCTGAAGACCTTGAGTCACTATTGCAGACCCAATGACTTGGCCAGCTTGATCCCCGAAAAGCCACCAGATAACCCCGCAGGGCCCCAAAGGGTTTTGTGCAGAGCTCCTTGTCTCACACGCCTGTGGCATTTTGCTCAAATTCTTCTCTGACTCTCAGCAACACTGGGCGGATGCACAAATCCTGCTCTGAAAGGCAGTTCAGCAAAATAACAAGGATTCTCAAAACTTAGTGCTCACTCCTGATTCATGCAGAAAAAAACATTGTTTTTCTTTTCTGATAAGAGTGATTTCCACGTTTAACATTTTGGGATTGAGTTCTAGGACAGAGGCATTTTGAGAAAAGAGTGAAAATGTTCTTGGGATATACAATTAAACCCCAGTCTGCTGTCCTTGTTAGAACCTGTAAACCTTCAAACACTAACTTGCTCTTAGGACTGATCAGACACCCTTGCAAACTCTTTCCCTCTCTTACTAAAAAAAAAAAAAAAATCTTCCAAAGTTGTCTCCCTCATCAGTGCCGCTGATTAGAATAAAATAAGAGTTGATGGGAGTTTTCAGTTATTCTCCTTCCAGGAGCCTTTTCTGTTTGAGAAGGGTAACCACTTTAAGCATACTCAGTCCCTGTGTCTCATAGCAGCGGCCAGCAGAGTTAGCAAGCAGGAATCCTTCCTTAGGGCAAAGCGAGAAAGGGGGAAGGGCGGGGAGAAAGAGAAAAGATCCTTGGGAGAGCTACCCACTCTTCTCCAGAGACAGCACTGACCCAGAGACGGCCCTTGCATGGCTTCAGGGACCCAGTAGCGCTCTGACCAGTTCTGCTGCCTCGGTGGGGCGTTGGCAAGGAGGAGGCCACCGGAGGCCTTTCGACCCGGGCCTGGAATGCCATCCCTGAAGGCCTGGGAAGTCACCATCCCCAGGACCCCTGGCCGGCCAACCCCAGGGCCCGAGACAGGGCTCCAGCTCCTCCTCCCCCTGGCGGGAGTGCAGGGTTAAACGGAAGGGGGAGGGGAGGAAGTTGGGTGTGGGGTCGAACGCCCGCGGCGGGGCAGCGCTTGGGTGTGGTGCAGGAGACGGCACACCGGCCTCCGAGGGAGGACTGGAGGGTCCTCTGGATGCGCGGTTCTCGCGGGAGGGGGTGACACTTGGGAAAGGGCCGACGGCTGCGGGTGTGGCTATGGGGGACGGGGGTGTCGGTGCACGCAGCAGGACCTGGGATCGCGGCCCCTGGGGGTGCGCTGGGCCAGGCCCGGGGAGGGGATACGTCGAGGCCAGGAGTCTGTGGAAAGAAGGGGAGGCCGCTGGATACTCGCCCCACCTCGGAAAAGAGGCACTCGTAGGGCCGGGCTCCGGGGCGGCAGCGGCCGCCACTCGTGTGCCAAAGCCCCCAAGAGACCCACTTAGAACAAGCCCCAGCAGAGACGTGCCTGGAGGAGGAGACGCTCCCAGGGTGGCTCGGTCCCTTCTGGGGCACGTGAAGTCCATGCCCGTCCCGGGCACAAGGCCGCCTCCCGCCCCGGTCCCCACAGCAGACGTCTTCGCCCGCGCCCCCATCCCCGCAGACGGGGTCCCCCCC